ATGTTATAATTAACGTTAAAAAGCAACTACGTTTGGACTATTTGACGGTCATTTTCAAGTTAAAAAGTAAATTTTTTTCAGCATGCGCTTAATATATACAATCGATAGTTAACATGCTAATGATATACTTACGAAAAGCTCAAAAATATTTACATAGAAACAATTTCGGAAAAAATTGAACAATTGCATGCATTTAAGAAAGCGCATCCAATATTAATTGTCCAAATACATAATCATTACAATCTTCGACAAAAGCGAAATACAAAGTTCTAAAACCTGGGAAAACCGGTTGAGACATTGTCTAAAGTAAAATATTTCTCCATTTCGGATATTCCCTGGTTTTGTAGGTGAGTGGTGAATGAGTGCTCCGGTTATTGTAATCAATTCTGCGGTTGGAGTAAGCTGAGTGGACTTAGTATGATTGCTTGCTCTAACTGTCCCATTACAAAACTACAGAATCATCAGTGAAAAATAAAGCAGCTAATGCACCAACACAGGAAATTGTAATGATTATGATAAAGACCTCCTTTGTAAATAGTATTGCAAGGAATAAAAAGAAAAAACTGTCAAGTCATTATGATTAAGTCTCTTAAGTATTATGTTTCCTAAATAAATTCTTTCGTGTTTTCTCTACAATTATGTACAAATATTGATAGTAATATCCCCCAACTATTTTCCGCTTTTCTCTTTTCGCTACTCTTTTTTGCTGAATTGGTTTAATTTTTTTTCACCACCCAGCTATCGTTGCACATTTGTGTGACTACTAACCCTGTGCATTTTTTCTCCGTAAATTACGTATTTTTCAGTCACGTCTTCTTGAAGTAATTAACAGTTTGGTTGTTGCCACTCTGCTATCTTAACTTGTATCAAGTCTCGATTGCAAAGTTCGGAAAAGTTACCCATCCCAGAAGTTCGGACGGCCCAACTTTCGTAGTACTAGATCACAGAAGACGTAAAAGTGTGGCGAGAACAACAGCGACACTAGCGGCTGCGCATTGCGCGCCACCATTGTTCTAACCACATTTTGATCAAATCTGTTATCCTTTACTTATCACACGCATACACCATATTAATAGTACATAATAGGCCATTTTACAGTTGTGCGCTTAGTTGCCAAGCCTTTGATTTGGAGTGAGGCTGAGGGTGACCTTGTTGTGATAGAGACCAGTATCTAGTTAGCACGTTAACAAAGTGATTTACATTTGAAAAGCAGCAATGTCTGTATCCCAACAAGGTCACCCTTAGCCTCCTCACTCTCATTCAAAGGCTTGGCAACCAAGTATGCAACTGTAAAATGGACTATTCGATACTGAAAACGATGTATATACGCCTGCTAGCTATGTCAATTTGCGTAATCATTTCTCTTCATGGCTTTTGATAACCTGGTTACATTTACCATCCTCGGTTAAGGTCACATTACCTTGAAAAACATAGAATTTATCAATATTGATGCAGCCTATTTGTGCTCCCTGGAATACTGCAGGTGACGACAGAGCTGCAGGTGACGACAGAGCCGCAGCTTCCAATGAGGGACTACTTAACTGGTTGTGTTCACCATTTGCAGTGCTCTCGCCTCCCATAGAGACTGTAGCTATTTCAAGAGTTTTCGAACCAGGGAGAAAACAGCTTTCCTCATCGTTCGCCTGAATCTGCGTCCCTTTGTCTGTTTGCATAAAAAGAATCTTGTAACATAAAACATGTTTGAACAGAACTTATTCTTAGTACAGAAGCGTACATCGTAAGTCATCATGGATAATGGGTGAGCCAGTTTACTGCTGTTTGAATTGAACTGTTTGCTGGATCACTCACTTAATGGACGTTGACAAGATCTGGTAGAGTCCTATGACCACAACATAAAAAAAACCAAAACAAACAAAACAAAAACCACTAAAACTCACGCAAGACATAGATTGAACGAACAAAATCAAAACGATTGGGCGCAAGAAATCATTGAGGTTAATGCGTCGCATCACTTTTTTGAAATTCGAATTATTTTTAGAGGTTTGTTCTCCCCTTTTTTGCAATTGTGTTTGATCTCCTTCAAAAAGCAAAACTCCTATTTGACCGATGATGAGGGTGATGTTTCTCTTTCTGCNCGTAAAAATTGTCTCAAGATCTTATCGTTGGCTTGCAGGCTATAGTTAAACACTGCTGACCCTCCCTCATAAAGAGCTTGTCAAGAGCTTCTATAGAAAAATTCACTGCCTGACGAGGGAATTCCACGTTAACTTTCACGCGAAAAACCGATATCGCACGAATCCGATATCGCACGTATCCGATATTGCACGAATCGCTTCGCGATTCGTGCGATATCGGTTTTTCAAGAGAAATTTAGCGTGGAATTCACGAGTCAGGAAGTGAATTTTTCTTGAATCGCGTAACTGAATAAAAATAAGAAAACAAGAAATTAAAACGGCAATATTATTGGTTTTATTCCGTACGCGCGCCCTAGAAAGCCATTTTAAAGTCAACTGTCAGAACTGTCATTGTTAAGGGAACAGAAAGCAAGGTAAGTCGCTCACGTTTGAACCGTCGACAATTTTATTTGCACCTCGTGAATTTTTCCTGAATCGCATAGCTAAAGCCACCAAATCACTGGGCGAAACCAGATGTTTTGGACTTTTGTGCGCCACGCCAGGGCGCAAACAATGGAAACCCTTTCAAAGTCAGGTGTCAATATCTGGCGAATAGAGGGAACAAGATATTTTTAGAATGAAAACCAGTTTTTTTTAAACTCGTGGAGAAAGCAATGCCTCGCATTTTACAATCTTTAGCAAAGAAACTGAAAGTACAAAATACGGAGTTATTTAAGACAGAGATTTGCCTGCTACCACTCAACTTGGCAAAATGTGGCGCCGACAATCAACAACTGAATGGTCAAATCCTCAAGCGAAATGAAAATTTCAAGCGTTTCGTTATCAAAGCAAGATCTACAAAAAACCGTAAGTGCTTCACCGTTATAAAAAAAGTGTACTCAAAATATAATGATCAAGACTGGAATTTCTCGGTAAACTGTGACTGTTTTTCTTTCACTGCAGGGAGTCGCTCGTTGGTGTTATGCTGGACTGAAAGTTTATGGAAATATTTACTGGAGAATTATTAAAAGTTACTCCAGTAAACATCCCGCCAACTGCTCCTGCCATCGGGTAACTAGAACGACTGGCATTGCTGTCAAGGTCACTAGAAGCTGCTGCGTTGCTTGGCGTGGCTGAGCTATTGAGAACAATCTCCCGTAATGCATGACTTGAATAGCCGTTGGTAGTTGTCGTGCTTGGGTTGAAACCGGCCAACTTATTCGACATTCGCCGCTGTTTTTTCAAAGGATTGTGGCTGTAGCTGGATATGGATTCCGGATTTGCGTGGCCAGTGAGCTCTGATATCTCCAGTGGGTCAAAATCATCACGGAGCGCTTGGATGACTGTTTTGCGACCACTCGAATTTGTGAATTTGCCGCCTAGGGTGGCGATGGACGCAACACTCTGCAGTTGTTTTGCCAATGCATTTCTAGCAATTGGAACCATCTTGTACCAGACATTGGATTTTGGGCTCTCGATTGGACTCAGGTAAAAATTTCCAGGAACGTTATCACCCTTCGGACGGTGACCAACGTACTCGATTAATGCTCTGTGCAGATCTCGCTCTCCACCATTCGTCCTCCAAATCTTGTTGTTATACTTTCTCGCCCGTTTTGTCGCAGTCGGTTAGTCTCCCTGGCGGTTCTTGGTTTGTCGCTCTTTGTATTCGATGTACTGCTCTGTTACGGTGAAATCACGTAGTTGACAATCATGTTGTTCATTAAACCCTCTCATTCCTAGGTGTGTGACATTGTTCTACCAGACCAGATGGAGAAGAGAGCGGGGGTTTTGAAGGCCGATTGCACCTGACGACCACATCTTTTCAATGTCTTCTGTTTCAACTGGTTGAGCCGCATTTGGTTTGATGCCAAGACTCATTTGCTTCAAATCTCTTTTCTTCATGGATAGCATCGTTGAAACTTCTTCGAACTCAATGGCTAAAGAATATTCGAGGTCGCAGTTATCTATTGGCGGTGGACATGTACGCTCCAGAAAGTACCTTCGTAAATCATTGCGGTAAGTTTGTAATGTTCCTGGTTCATATTCTTTGCCTTTGTTTTCTTTAGTCGTCTGCCTTATTTCTAGAAAGATGTGCTTAAGGAGCTGCGGTGCAGCTTCGAAATTGTATCGAGATTAATTTGTTTGCCGTGAACAAGACTGGAAATGGCGTACGGATGTACTTGTACTTCTTTTGGTGTTTTTTGAAACCATGTTGTCTCTAAAAGAGGCCAGTTCGTCATCTGTAAAGGCTACAATTGATTGGATTTTCGGAAAAGATGCTTGACCTTTTTCAGCATTGATACCTGTTTGGTTTTCTTTCGTAACGCTTGTCAGGTTTTCCTCGGCAAGAACTGTCGTTTGGCTTTGTTCCCTCGTCTCTGGCATTTTGAKTTTTTTTTCTATGCCTTTTCTCGTACTTTTGAGCGTGAGTGGTTTCCTCCAAGTTTATAAAATTTGAATTTCAATTCAAAATTTGGAAGACATTCGTTTTCTATAAATTTGATCATATTTGTTAATATTTTCGTAGCACTAGTTGCATTTACGTTTTTACGTTCGTAACAATAATTTTTGCTCGCGACTCACGTCAGCGATATCGCTTTATGCATGAGTGCGATTCCACGCTAAATACCCTCTCTTCCGGTTGACGTATTGACCAATCAGAGTGCGTGTTTACCTTAAGCTATGCGATTCTATAATATATGACACTGTTCACAACCATAACTATGACTTGCTTCGTGTCTGTTCCAATTTAGAGTATTGTAAAGCGATGAACATGTATTTCTGTGTGGTTGTTTCTCAAAATTTAAAAATGCCGTCATGTGGATTCTTTTAATCTGCCTTGAGATTAGACTTGCCTGTACTGCAACAACGCATCTAATAACTTGTACAGAGTGTTACTAAGATCAAGTTACGCGTTTGCCACATTTTTCGCTGATTAGAATCACAACTGGCTAATTACCACTCCCACAAATTTTGGAAGAAAATTCGAAGTAGAAGTCTGTTTTTTTAAGACCCTTTTCCCTCTATTCAACGTCCGCCATTACTAAAACCACGAAATGGCCGCACGTAAGTCAGATAAGAACTTGTGCAAGAAACTGATGAGTACTTGAGAAAGAAATTGGAGAAGTACTTGAGAGAGAATTTGAATAAGTACTTGTGCACGAACTTGAAAATCATGTATAAAAATATAAATATATAGAACTTGACGTTCAAAAACTTGAACAACCAGAATACACACCCGCTTGCTTAACAAGTTATTTCAACCGTGAAGACAACAAAACCAAAGAAAGACCCTTGAAGAGTTGCAGCTGGCTAGAGACTTGCTGAACACTGCTAAAAACTGAGAGAAGCAAAGAAGAAGACTTGAGACATCAACGGGTCTGAAACTCAAGAGAAGTAAAGATCTAATCTACAGGATCCACGCCCCCGAGAAGTAGCTATTATGACAGCGAAGTGCCTCCCTCATAATTTCCCCTCATAATTCCCCCTTTCAACGGCTGGATTGTATGATAAGGGAAAAGATCTCATAGCTCTTGTTAATAAACCAAAACTGCCAACACCAACGGAAGATTCGTACACCTTCAGATCTCCAGGATCCAAGCCTTCGGAGGGGCGCCACCAAAAACAAAAATTCCTCTGTGAATAAAGCCGATGGATTGAGCCACGAAGAGGTAGGCCCGCAGTGGCAGCAAAATTATTACATTGTCAAAATTAAATGTCTAATAATAAGCTTGTGAAACCTTTGACTGATGCTGCTACGATAACAGGAATCACAGCTGGTTATGGATGGAATACTAAGAAAGTCACCAACGACCTCTGATCCCAGTTCTAATCCCATAAACTATGTAACGTTCACAGCAATTGTTGCTGCTTCTCTCACAACACGCCAATATCTTGAACATCAAAAGAATTTGCCGTCTCAAAAAATTGGTCCGCTATGCATACAAGCGTGACCTACGAAATTGAGCTGCTTTCTGGTGTCTGAGTTTCTATTAGAAGAGCTAATATGTGATTACGGTTAGATAGTTTTCAATATTGTTCCTGTTCATCGATAAAATAAGATAACTGGCAATCAATAGTCCTGAAATGTTCATTTTGAATGTGAGGGTTAATGGTCAAACTTTGTTATGGAGGCCTCATTTTGTCAACAAAGGTTGCATGTGAAACCTGAAGACTTTAGGAACTGAAAAAGGCATCAGCATCATCTTCCATAGTGGCCTAATAGATTCAGTAATGATTTTGTATACGTAAAGAAGTGGAGTTGAGTTCTGAAGTTTGTAGTTTAATTTTCGTTTCCAAGGCAAGTGATGTGAAATTAACTCTGGGGAAGCATTTCATATGAATAGTTTTGGCATTTTAATTGCCAGTACACAAGGACAGAACTTGCCAGAAGGGCCGAAACGTTCGGAAAATTATGAAATCTACACTAGAGGCCATTGGGAGCTTGATTTGGTTTGAATGTATGACTGTACGTTTCTATTATCCATTAGGGCACAAAATTCTGTTTTCAGTTGGTTGAGAGCAAAATGTTTTACTCTAATGATCGTATTTAGGTTTTGTGGGACTGTATTTTCAAAAAAGAACACAG